AAATGTCAGTCATCGGAATCTGTCTCCTACCAGCCTGGAGGGCTGGGAGCCGTGCGTGTGCTCCAGGTAGCGCTGCCGCAGGACCAGTGGGACCTGGCCCTGGATCCATCGTCAGGGCTCTGGGCAGATGGACTGGAATAGATGGCTCCCCGGTGGGGGGCCCAGGCTGGGACTGGCTAAGGTTGGGGAGTGGAAGGGGGCTGGGGCTGCATCCCCCAGATATTCCTGGGCTGTCTGAACCACGGAGTTCATACTGAGAGGAAGTTGGATATAGCTGGTGGGGAGAATCCTGGTAGTTAAATGCCAACCTCAGGAATTGGGCCTTGGATCTTTGGGGAAGAGGGGAGGCAGGACCTGCAGAATTGGGGAAAAGTGTCCGGGTTCTAGGACCTCAGAGCACATCCCAGCCAGGGACGGCCTCTCACACAGCAGAGGCGCTTGGGTGGGGAGGCAGTCCTGGCGTCCAGCGCATCCAGGTCCCCACCGCCTCTAGCCCACCCGCCAGCACCGCTCGCCCCAAGCAGTGGCCGGACCCCAGCCAGAGCTTGTTCTGGTTGATTCCTTGTGTGACTGGTTTCTGAGCTGCGCCTGGCTCGCCGGGGCACTGAGGGGCCGAGTTTCATTCCCTTGCCCAGCCCGAGCTGGCAGCCTCTGGCAAGTCTGTGATGCCTCCCGGGCAGCTCTAGCTTTCCGCATATTCCCGCTAACCAGATTGCTCAGGAAGCTTCAGGGTCACCGGGGGGCGCAGCCTGTTCCTAGCTCGGCATGTGGGTTCAGGCGGGACATCCAAGCCCACAGGAGCCCCGAAACACGAGACCCACAGGCTCCTGGCTGCCCAGCGCTGAGGGTGATGGGCAGACTAGCCCTTCGGCTGGTTCTCTGCCAGCTTGTGGGGGGCAGGTAGACTTACCCCTGCCATAGACCCTCTGGCACCCCATGGTAAGCTGCACCCAGATCCAGCAGCTGGCCCCGTTCCAAGTAAAATGCCCAGCACAAGGACTGGTGGCCTTGTTGCCACTCCTGCAAGGGGGCGGGGGGCTGGGGGGGGGG